GCATCTTCAGAGAGCAGGAGCACAGACAGGAGCAGTTCTCTCTGTGCCCAGGATGATGGGACCCTTTTGTGGGTATTTATAGAGATCTGCCTAATCCCCAGGAAGATACACACATATTCTGACACCAAAACAACCAGCCACTCGTTAACCCAAACCCCCCATACCCCCCACACCCCCCACACCCCTTCAGGTACCCTCGCTGATCTCTATAAATACCCACAAAAGGGTCACATCATCCTGGGCACAGAGAGAACTGCTCCTGTCTGTGCTCCTGCTCTCTGAAGATGCCGGTCACAGATGCTGGCGAAACATTAGGAAACAAAACTTCCAGAACACAGCCCGGAAGACCCACACCAGCCATAAGATCAGAAACCTTTGAATTAGTTACTGTATCTCAAACATGACAGGTGTCTATGTCATTTCTCAGATGTTTCAAATCAACATATTTAAAACAAGATTTTCGTATCTTTGCTCCGAAGACATGTTAATTAAACAAAGTTTGTGAAACATTTTTAAAGCAAAATGTTTCAAAACTGGACAGGTAGTTTATATTTCTCCTGTTCCTTCCACATTGTTACTGTTATTCTTAACATGCCTCAAAATCTTTATTTTCTAATTCTGTACACATTAGCATCAGAGAACGAGCCGAGTTGGTGCAGTGGTTAAAAGCGCCAGGCTAGAAACTAGGAGACTGTGAGTTCTAGTCCTGCATTAGGCATAAAGCCAGTTGGGTGACTTAGGGTCAGTCCCTCTCTCTCAGCCCTAGGAAGAAGGCAAATGCAAACTGCCTCAAAAATATTGCCCAGAAAACTGCAAGAACTTGTTTACATAATTGCCAGGAGTCAAGACTGACTGAAAGGCACAAAACAAAACATAGAGGAAAACAAGAGACAACATTTGAAATTTGAGTGCTCTGCAGAAAGTTGGTAGAAAACTGGAAAATAATTTTAAAAATCCTCCCTTTGGGAACTGGAGCAGGATTCACTGCAGACTACCAGGCCTTCGGAGAATTAATATTTATGAAGACAGCTGAACAGAGGAATATGCTGGTTAGTAACAGCATACTATATAACCTGTGACTTCTATTCTTATTACATGAAACAGAAAAAAAGTATGCAAGGCATAATTTCTGGAATTCTTTCCAATCCCTTTACCAGCTGTTGCCATGGGAGGAGCCTGTATTTTTTTCTGTTAGGAAGTAATGTGTCATATGCATGTTTCTACTTTCCCCACACACTGCATCTATGCGTGTCCACTGGGACGTGGGGCCCAGGCTGCATACGTTCTGCTCTCAGTCATGCGACTGGGAGGAAGAAAGGACGAAGGCCTAGGATGGAGCAGTCAACAACATTCCTAGCTGCTGCCCAACCACATCTCCCAAAATTGGTGGAATATTTTCTTGAATATTTTCCTTCAAAACTTGAAGCTGGATCCAGCCCATTTTTAAGTTCAATCTTCCTTTCGTTGGCTTTCTGTCCCTAACCTCCACACACCAAACTTGGTTCCATTATGTTTTGTTTTCAAGAGTGATTCTGGTGACAGATAGACAAACAAGACACAATTCCAACTGTTGAATTGGAAAGAAGAAAAAAGATGCCTGAAGACTTTCAATCCCAACATTTTCTACCTTGGTTAGCAAAAGCTTCCCATATGATCAGCCTGCGGCAATTCATCATGTTTATGCTCCTGGTAGCATATCCTAGTAGCATATGCTACTTGAGGCCAGTAGGATATCCAGTGAGCCCTGCTCTATATATAGTAATGCATGCCCTGACTACAGTTTCACCAAAATGTCTTCTGAGTAATGTCAACTGTGTATCTGCCAAGTGCATATTGCCAGCATGCATACCAGCATCAGCCAAGGGTGGGCAGCCCACAGGCATAGCAGGGTCAAGAGGTTAGAGCCTGCCAACTATGTTTTCAGAAGTCCCTGTGATGTCAAGTAACCCACGATACAAACAGATTTAGATCATCATTTCCTACCTGGTTCTAAATCAAGGATCATATCCAAAGCCTGGCGATAGTGGGGAACTTGTTCATTGAGGCCAGTTAAGTTGAACTTGTCTTGGATGTAATCTTCATCCACCTGAAAACAGATATAAAGCACTAGAAACCAGGATCAACTGATCTTGACTTCTCAAGGACCTGTAGTTTACTTTGCTTTCTCAAGCTCCCTTGAGACCCAAGTACAGTAACACATTTCTAAAATTGCCTGACGCTCCTATTTATTTAAAACCCTATTTATTCTCTCTCAAGGCTTTGTTCAAATCACATCCTTAAAAAAAAAAAAAAACCTCCTAATTTCCAGCCCCCACTGCATACACAACTCACAACTTCCCAACTCACCTCACAGAAGAACTCATTGCCACGCAAACCACAAAACCAGGAAATCCACGATACCTCCTCAGAGCTACTCATCTTCCCGTCCTCTAGATAAAGAGAGGAACAGAAGCATCCTCAGTGTTTACCAGCTACCGCTCACAAATTCTTTGTGAAAAACTCCCTATACAAAGCACTCTACAGACATGATTTTCAGTTCATGCTCCCCAGCCCTGTTTTACGCCGGCCGATAAACTACCGTCTTGCATCTGTGCATGGGAACCAACGCTACATAAGAATCCCATAAGCTGTTTCTTCTTTGTCAACAGAAACCCACTTCCGACTTATCACTAAAAATGCTTTTTTTTCAGAACAGTAATATCTACCCGTACCGCACCATTTTGCAAGAAACGTGCGGTCGACACTCTTCCTTCCTTTTTTTTTTTCCTTTTTTTTTTTAAACTCCGGGCTCACACCATCTCCCCCGCCCCCAACCCCCACCCCCGCTCTCCCCTGAACCTTGTCCGGGGAGCTCCATAACCTGACCATTCCTCCCCTGTGTGTTCTGGGCAACAACTCCTTAAACCTATAGCCCAATAACTCACCCCAAAAGGCACAACTGCCTCAAGGAGAGGGACGCGGGGCGCAAGCAAGCAAGCTTCGGACCGGCAAGGCCTCTGCCAGCATCAACAGCGCACGCGCTAGATTCGCCGAGGAAGCGGCATCACGGGATTGCAGTACTTCAGAGTAAGGAGAAAATGGACAAACAGGGAAGGAGAAACTACTACTCCCAGAGTGCAACGGAGAAGGAAATGGACGCTGGGGGTCTTAGTGCTGATTTCCTTTGCACCGCGGCCGTTTTTCGGAAGAACGATTTGCGCAGAAGTACCTCTCCCGAGAAACGCCTAGGCGATTACAGGGCGAAGAAGTGGGTTTGCACGGCGAGTTGGCGCGCGCAGTGAGCTGAACGTAGTGCAGAGAAGGCCCCATTTTTAAAGCACAACGAGCAGCGGGGCTTCCTGAAAAATAACACGGATGCTTGATCGAGGCGTCCTTGGGGAGGGAGGTAAGTCTGCCACAACCCTTTCGGGAATCGTAGTCAGATTAACGCGGGGAGGGGTTGGCACCGATCTTCGGGCTCTTTTGTTACTTATGAGCGAAAAAGCGATTAGAATGAGACATCACTTCCGAAGCACAATTTTACACAAATAGCAGGGCGGAAGGGCGGCCAGAAGCAAGGGGCTTAACCTTTTCCCTTCCGTGCCAGCTGCTCTTTCCTCGGTCCCTATTCGCGCTGATGCACACGGACGTAAAGTGAAGGAAGAGTGGATCATGGGGGGGACAGTGGCAGATGGTATATGATATAGTTCCATGGGGGGGGGGGGGGGGGGAGGGGTAAAAGTATCAGATAGCCCAGAAAGCTACGAGTTAATTCCTAGAAGAGAGTGGCTTTC